ACAAGATTTTGTAAGATCTTACAAGATCATATGAATTCTTGTCATAAGGTCTTACAAGACCTTGTCACTTCTCATAACCAGATCTTGGGGGATCTTATAACAAGAAGTTACAAGATTCCATAAGATCGTATATTATCTTATAATAAGATCTTGTATGATCATATCGTAAGACCCTATTACAAGATTTCACAAGAAAACATCAGATCTTTCAAGGTCTTACAAGACGTGTTTCACCTGGGTACATATATTTTCATTCATATATGCATTCTCTGTGCAAAATGGGAGGGAATACAGAAGTTTGAAAAAATCACCTGCGTCATGTTAATCCTTGGCTCATAATGTAACGCCGTAACTCTTTTCATTTAATTCTTTTTAAATTCTGTTTGAGATTTTTATCAATACAGATAAGCCTTTTAAAATGGTGCAGAACGAAACTTTTCTCACTATTCTACATGACCATTGTTTTTCTATAGTCTAAGGCAAAAAACTTCTGAATCATAGTTTTTACAGACTTTCTCTAGAAGAAAGGAGAGTCACAGCGAGTTAGATTAAAATGTCATCGTATTTTTAAGTATTCCAACACAACATTTATATCGACAAAACTGGAAATCGTAAAAAATTCTAGAAAACATAATTACTGTTCCTAAGATATAATAACTTACAATTTCTCCAGGCTTAATCCTTTTCATTTGATGTGTTGGTGAAGATGAAACGGATGACGATCTAAAGAAAATACAATGAGTTATATTTAATGTTTTTGATATAAACATGATTTTATATTGTGAAAGGTGTGTGTTTTTTTATCATTTGTATCCTCAAGCTCATAAGCTTCTCAGACAGAAAATTTTGTTTATCTTCTAATTTAAAGACATTTCAACATTCTTTACCGTTATATCTTTGGACGAACAAATTTTTTCAAAAATAAAAAATTACATTTATGATAGAATCTTGAGTACCTTTGATAAAAAGATCATTAGTGTGTATTTAGTGGTCTAGATGGGAAGCTTCTCTACCACTGCAAGTTCTGCTCCTCTTTTTCTTCAAAGAAAGAAAGACCTGAAAACCAAGAAAAGCAGGTCTAGTATTATGTCTGGTAAAATTTATAGCCTTATAGATTAAGTCCTTCTGGCCGAAATGCTGCCTTGGCAGAAGCCCGTTTTTGCTGCAACGGTTTCCAGAAAACTCAGACTGTAGAAGATGGAATAATACTCCCAGCAAAACTTTTTTATACCTACTCATTGGGATGTGTTTTGTGCTGAAAAAATCATGGTGCTGTGATGGATTATTCTTGAATCCGGTAAAGTGAGAGGTGCCCTTCAAGAGTCAAAAATGAGCACAGGACATGAGTATGCAATCTTTGTTGGATTATACTCAATCTGTTTTGGACTACCAGATTGAGCCATGTTTGGTTTGGGATGAGAGTATGTGATAAAAAAAATTTCATGCGTAGATGAAAACGTCAATCGAACCTGACGTTTATCCGATGTACGGCTGTTTTTCTAGAAAAGGCTCTAGACAGTCTTAGAATTTGGAGTGAAGGTAGGCTTCTTTCAGCAATCCTAACTTATATTAAATTTGATGAAACGATTAAGTCTTTCAATTAAAATACAAAATTTCTCACTAAATAAGCATTGTCTAACGTTAAATTTCTATCTGACATCTAAACATGTATCTAAGTGTGAATTAAATTTACCTCTTTTGACTACTTTTCTTTTCGAGGAAAGTCTTAAATAATTCTGTGCTAGTTTGATGTCGGTTGTAATACGGTAATAATTTTTTTTGCATAGTATACGGCAGTAATGGGTAAATTAAATGACAATAATATGCTGCCCATGCTGGATGGTGAACAGTTAGAAAATCGTTACATTGTTTATTGCATCCAAAGCAACCCATATGTGTACCAAATAAACAGCACTCCAAATCATCTAACAAAAATGAATGATGATGTATAAATTATTTGTTTATTTTTATATCACAACAAACAAGAAGCATTTTACTCACCTTCAGATAATTGATCTAATTGATTTAAACTTATTATACTTGCCCCTGATCCACCAACTTCGGATGATGCGTTATGTGGGCGAATTCGCCACTGTATGACATCATCAATATCTAAAATTTCACCAACACTAACAAATTTCCTTTCCCATCCGCCAAAACTTTCTTGTACATCTAATTTTAGTTGCATTTTTTCTATTTCTGTTTTAACATTTCTTTTTTGATGATGATATTTATAAACGTTTTCAACTCCACTTGCATAACCAATTAATGCTAATGTTTCAGATGGATTCATATTATCGTTCGATGGTGTCAAATATAATTGTTCAGTGTTATCATAAACTTTAATAAATAGAAAATCATTTATATGACTCCATGGTTCCACCTTTAAGTTTTCTTTTGTTGCTGGATGTTGTGTATTCGGCACATAATCCGGTTTCGAAAATAATTCGTTTAAAACGTGTTTCTCCTCCAAACCCCATACATCAAACTGAATTGAATTTTTATCAAGAATTATACTTATTGATGGACATGAAAGACCTACAACGAGTCACAAAAAAAAGCGGAAAAAAAAGGGTAAACTTTAGTCGTATCATCATTCTCTTTCTATCAAACAGAGACAGTGAAAAAAACTGTTTGATAGACCGTACTGTGATAGCGCAAGATACTGTTAGCTCACTGTCAACTACTGATAAAAAATGAGCCATGGAATGCCAAAAGTACAAAAAATAGAGGCAAAATGGAGCTAGGACTTCGAAATTTTCAGCACTCATTTTATCAACGATAAATACGATATTCGTAATCCGGATCAAAAACTGGATTATATGAAGTATATTTCACCTCTTTCTGAAAACTTTCTTTTTACTTCAAACATTTCGCCTTTGATATATACCCCTCAAACGCTATTTAGAATAAAATGTAATTTTTCAAAATTGCTTTTTCTGCTTAGTAAAACATTATTTACGACTTGGTAAAGGATCATATAGGCAGATCAAATACCTAAGCGGTGGTTTGGGGTATCTCGTATGCTGAGTCGAATGAGGTCATAAAAAAGATGTGTGAAGCTTTGACACTTAGTGGTGATTCTTGACGCGCTGATAGAACATCTCTCCTTATTTAACTGTAAAAGGTGACCTATATTTGATCCGAAATCGTTTACCGTTCTACCTGGGCAAGAGATTGTGAGAGAGTTCAACGACAAAAGACAGTTAATGTACATGCGATGGAAGTGGAAAGTTAACATTTTTGCCTTCTCAATATTTTCTTACTCATAAACTTCACTCCTCTTTTTCTTCAGGTAGCCGCTTTATACTGAGAAACGTCACAAAAGGCCATATAGATCTGCTATATAGGTTTGCAAAATAAAATTCTTCTATAAAAATACTATAACCAATACTATAACCAAATAAAATATGCGTGTGGAGTCATCTCTCAAAAAAATTTATGTGATTCTGTTCTTCCCCTTGTCTTCTTTCCCTAGAAACGGTGCATCAAACACGTTTTTATGATACATGGGTGGATAACCTTGTTCACCAATGATAAAAAAATTTTGAATTATCAACCAAAATTTTGAATCCTTACCTGATGAAAAACATTGTCTTACTATTGTACCAGATGTAATTGCTTTTACATATGGATGATAACTAGTTGCACATATATAATATGGTCGTGACGATAATTTATCCAAAAGTGGTGTTATACGATATGCCGTAAAATCGTAACAGCCAGTTGGTTCACTATAAGCAAAGATACCTTTACCAACACTAAACGATAACTTTTCCAGTTTATTTCTTAATATAACATTAGTCTGAAATTGTTGATGAGCCTTTGTTAATGTACGAGATGGTACCCATGGTAATAAATGTTGATCTATTTCATTGACATTAAAATCATTATAAAATTTATTATTATTATTAAACGTATAGGAACGCGAAAATTCTTTTGTATTCGGTATAACTATGGAAACATGTAAGCAATCAGATGATGAGGATGTGCCACTTAAATCATTTTTCAATATTATTTCTTTTTCGTCTTCTTCAGCGTTGTTGTCGATTTTAGTCATAAACATTTTAAATTTACTTTTAATAATCTAAAACGAGAACGTAAGTGCATCTTTTTGGGCGAATAACTTGAGCGAGAACATTCAGTCATGTTCTATATGTATTTCTGTGCTTTATTGTCTTGATTCATCGTCTGTTCCACCTCTCAATGCATTCATCATTTACCTTTATAAATCTTTTTGACGAAATAATGATGCTATTGCGATTGTGACTACAACTGCAAATAATCTGGCACTATCTTGTTCATCATTGATCAAATTTGTAAACAAATTAACCAATTCTCTTCGAATGTATTTCAATCCAACAACAATCAAAATTTTGTATAAAATCATCTCCCTTCTCTCTTTTATTCGATTCAACCTTCTCATTAAAAGTCTTCACGTCTTTATCATTCTAAATCAGTTCGTGTTTTCTTCTTTCATAAACGGTTTTCTTCTCAAACAGTATCTTCTTCTTCTGTACTACAGTGGCCGACTGGAGCAATCTTCCATTCCAACTAGGCATGCACTGTTACGGTTAACCGAAACCCATTGGAACTGAATATTTTAAACTGTCATAATGAATAAAAACAGTAGAAGCAGAAGTAGTCCCAGTATTGCCTTTGGAAGAGTACATATAACTCGGGACTGAGAATTCCTTATTGGAATATTATTGGTACTTCTACAGATACAGACCTCCTTACCACTAGACAGGTAAGCAATCTGTAGAAGAACTATTTTTTCCTCTTTTACTTCGTTGAAGGTAAAGACTACGTGTATGAAAAAGGAAAGCAGCAAGAAAAGAAAATTTACTTTTCATTGCCTAAATGTATAACTGTGTGTAATGCACAACCAGATTTATCCACACCTGATCATTAGCAAAGATCTAGTACCTTAATCATTTACACAAAGAATTAAAGCTGGTCTTGACCGATTTCGGTTCCGACCAGAGATTGTCCCGGGCCACGTTTTTACGGCCTGATTCGAAGTGACTGCATACATTTTTCGAAGCGGCCCGTACGGACAGGGTCAAATGCATTCTAGATTCTTAGATAGTATGGAAACATAGGAGATATTAAAAGCGCTGGATTTCGGTAATATATCAGCAGATATAAGCTTACAGAAATATAAAATCCGTTGATCTCTTTGTATTTTCCTTTAGTTTGTCCAGTTATGTTTTAGATCGAGAGGTGTTAGTTGGTGTTTTATTATTGGGTTTCCCGAAGTCTGTCTGAATAAATAAGCGACATTTTCAAGAGAAGATAGTATCTTTTTCTTACATTTAATATGAGTGTAGCCTTTCGATATTGTCTTGTAATTTTATCGACTTTTTGGGAAAAAGGCTGGGCTCGCATGCAGGTCATCATCTTCTGTCAAAACTAGCCATGTTTCAAGTACTTCTCGTTTTTTATTTTTATTCATATAGTAGAGCAGATATTACTATATATACGAAAATTGGTATAGTCCTTTCTTACGAACGGAAGATAGGAAAGAAGTGAAAACACTATTACAATCTGCTCTAGTGTGTTTGTATCTTCCTTTCCTTTTGTTGTTTGTTTCTTATTGGTGCGTGGTGTACATGGCACATTACTGATCGATGCACTTACTTGATTTAAATTTACGGTGGTTTAATAATATAAGTTTTTCTACCAAAAAGACACAAATAGGATGAAAAGAGAAGTCCAAGTTCTTTTCTGGCTTCTTGGCCATACAAACGAAAATGTCAGGTTTACTTACCGAGGTTACTACAATACAATGCACTAGAAAGATTGCATAGTAACACTCTGTTTTTACTATGGGCTACAGATCAATCAGCACAAAAAATATATTTCCGACTGCTGCCTACCTATGGAAAGTATTTCTAATGCTCTGCTTTCACTGTCATTTTTCCAAGTCAGGTAACTATACGTTGATTGGTGGTCAGGATACGCTAGAACTGAGAGCGAAAATTTCTGTTGTCCATCGTGGAATTGTGTGTTTCTATAGTGGAGATATGCGATCAAGAAAATAAAAAGTGCTGAATACACTTTGTACACATGTCTGTCGTAGAACTTTAACACAATAAATATTCATTATTATTTTCATCATTAATTGTTTCTACATTGTTGTTATTCACATTTGGATTTAATTTTTGACAAATAAAACATTTTTCTCTTATTAAATAGGGATTTGGTGCCACTGAAACGATTGTCGTTGTTGTTCCATTTGTCTAAAAACAGTGATGTAGAGACGTAAAACTACTCAAGTCATACGAGCTCGAAGAAGTATACCTCTGTATACCTCGTTTTGTTCAACTGTTTCCATATTATTTACTGTCTCGCTTAAATATTTCGATATGTTTAGAGTAGTTGTCTAGTAGTCACACTAAATCTACATACACTATTCACTAATCTAAAATT